TTCAGGGGTTTAGGGTTTACGGTTTGTGGCTTAAGGAGTTTAGGGCTTTAGGGCTTTAGGGCTAGGGGTTCGGGGGCCTCCGAACCCAGTTCTGTAGGGTGTGGGGTTTTGGGATTTTGGGTTTGGGTTTGTTTAGGACTTGCAGTTTACGTTCGGGTTTTGGGGGCTAGGGGTTTTGCAGGGTTAGTTTAGGGCTGTTTAGAGGTTGCGAGTTAAGGGTTTGGGGTTGGGACCGTATATAGTAGCTGACCTCTTCAGCAACGTCTACAGCAAGCCTGAAGGATACTCACGGAGATTTTTTGGTTCAGCTGTATCATACTAGCCCCTAAGCTACGCCAGTGTCTCTAGTTCAGGGCTTCAGGGCTCAGGGTCTAAGCCCTAAACACTTAAAAACAACCTTAAACCCTAAACCCTACATAACCCTCAAAACCTGGGCGGCTTAGCCTTCAGCTTCTATAGTTCTCGTTCTATGCCGAACGAGCCTCCGAGCATCAGCGATACCTGTGGTAGCAAACGGTTAACTACTACTATTGCTATTACCATGACTATGACCATGATGATGACTATTACTATTTCTATTTCTACTACTTCTACTATTACGGTTACTGTTATTATTACTATGATTTCACTACTAGTAATACTTTTTGCTAGTAAAGTTATCATTAATTTACAGTTTTTATCAGTATTAATTATTTAAACGCTTCGCGTCTTCCGCCTCGGCCCGGCCGCAAACAAAGAGGGCTAACGAACTGCTGGGCGCCGTTGGCGGAGCGGACGAGGACGGAGGAAGGGGACCGCTTCGGCTGGGGGCCGAGGCGAATTAGTGTTTTTAGTACTTGTAGAAAAGGCATTACAGAAAGTAGCAGTTTCTATTCTTATTGTAATCTTGTTATTCTGGCCACTACTCTTTTTAATGTAATAACCATCAGTTTTGTTGTTACTATTATTATTATTATTGATTATTATTATTGTTATTATCTTGACCATTACATTATTGTTCCTACTGCTATTATGATTGTTCCTTGTAGTTGTACTAGTATTACTATTGTTGCTACTGCTGCTGCTGCTACTACTACTACTACTACTACTACTACCACTACTACAACTGCTACTACTAACTCTACTTCCATTTCAATTTTGCCACATTGCCGTACCATATCAACAATTGCCAGGTTGACTTTTCAGCGCATTACCGTCACCATATTATCATATCACCATACCAGCATATCACTTACTATCGTAGCACCATAATACTACTTTATATATTACATTCATACATTCTGTATGTCTATTTATTATCCACTATAGTACTACGTTGTGTTTTGGTATTACTATGGTACTACATTGTTACATCGCTATATTTTCTATGGCTCTATTGCCGTATTGCCGCTATATTGGTTTAAGTATGTAGCCTTACCTGATTATATAAGTACATGCTGATTTGTTTTTAATTAGTTTTTTTATAACATTTCTCAGATTACTGTCTTAAAACACTATTATGTTAATATATTACTGTACCAAGATATTACTATGTTGCTATGCTACCATCTGACTATACTAGTATGTTTTTATACCATTATACTTTGTTCTAACGACATATTACTATACTATATAGTTGTATCATTCTACAGTTACGATTACGACTACTATCATTTCTAATATCGTTTCACTTCCCATGATTGTTGTTATCATTATTGGCATGATTAGTATTTCTGCTATTCCTATTATTGTTATTCTTATTTCAACTATCTTTAAAAATGTCAGTATCATTGTTCTTCTTGTCATTATTATTATCATGATGGTACTCATTATGGCGATTATTTTTGTGAGTATGGATCGCTATCTGTTCCAGTGATGGAACAACGTCCACGGAAGGCTTCACCCGCTTCGAGAGTGAGTTGCCATACCCGAGCCCTAGAACCTCTACTTAACGGCCAAGCCTGGTTGACTCTCAGGCCTTAAGCCTTAAACCGTAGAGTTTGTGTCTAGGGTTTTAGGCTTTGGGATTTTGGGTTTAGGATTTGGGTTTAGGGTTTAGGTTGAGTCAGGCACACCAGACTCGCTCGCTCCATACCCTCCTGTGTTTTATCTCGGCTTATTCGGACTCCGTAAGTTTTAGAGGGTTTTACTGTGCAGTGACTTGGTATTGCCGAATATTCAGAGGACGGTTTTTCGGGGTCTTAAACCCTGCACATACTAGTGAACCACAGAGTAATACATCACGAATAGTCCAGGTCCCTTCCTGAATGAAGCCTTCAACCCCGAGGCTGACGCTCTTCCGAAATTAGGCCCTCAGCAGGTGGCCTTGCCCATAAAAAGACGGGCGACGCGCCTGCCTATCCCGAAGCCTAACGATCGACATCGTCCAGCCAAAAGTTCTTCAAAGGCCAGAAATTCGGAAATGGGAACTTTTAACTGTCAGGCCGTAAACCCTAAACGCCAAACGCTAATTGATGACGCACGGAGGCTTACTGCACCTCCGGCGCAAAGATCGCACGGATGCTACGCGAGGCACCGCAGGTTTCATGGTGACAAAATCTGGCGCAGGAAGAACTCCCTGCGTGTAGGATTTACACAGTCTAGGATTTTAGGATTTAGCAGTCGTGGGCATTCCGTGTTATATAGGGGTCAGAATATCTAGTAGTGTCACCTCCTGATAACTAACTACTTACAATCCCTAATCTATGCGTACGTAGTATATTCGCCGAAACCCTATTCTTATCATGAAGGCGCCTATAGAAGGATTTGGAGCCATTTGGGGCTTAGGGTATGGCGTTGTGTGGAACAGAGTCTTAGAAGTTTTCTGGCGCTCACTTGCGTAGGTTGGTCGTCCCAAGCTTCAACGCATAAGCATGTAAAGAATTAAACGAGTATGGACACTTGGTGGAACACTGCTGCACCTATGCATGAGAAGTGCCCCAAAGTGAATCTCCGGTTTGCGCAGACGTACACAGAATGACAGTTCACGCGTCCCCCCCCGAACCCTGAACGATACACCCTAAACCCTAAACCCTAAACTCTAAACCCCAAACCCCTAAACCCTAAACCCTAAACCCCTAAACCCTAAACCCTAAACCCTAAACCCTTAGTTCTCAAGGAAGGCCCGGCCTGCATTTGCGTTTGCAGGGAACGGCCGCCGTGGGGCGTCTGCGGCCCCCAGCCCCCGCACTAAGTCCAACGGTCCAGGGCTTTGGGTTTAGGGCTTAGGGTTTAGGGTTTAGGGTTTAGGGATTTGGGGTTTAGTTTCAACCCCAAATCCCAAACCCTAAACCCTAAACCCTAAACCCTAAACCCCACAACCCCACAACCCCACGACCCCGGATCCTACATCCTCAATCGTGTCAGCTGTTGCGGCATGGCTTTGGAGGGACCTTTAGCTGCCCCACAGTCCATGCACCCAACTCACAGTAGGGGTTTGCATTTAGGGTTTAGGGGTTTAGGGGTTTTGGGGGCTTAGTGGTTTAGGGTTTTAGGGATTTAGGGGTTTTGGGGCTTAGTGGTTTAGGGTTTAGGGTTTCGTTTCGGGTTTCGGGAAAACGCTGAACCCCTTATAAACCCAAAACTTCGCACTGCCAACCTCCCCCAAGACGCTGCAACACGAAAGGCCGCGGCCCAGTAGGTTCCCAGAGAAGTCCCTAACCCTAAACCCTAAACCGCCCCCGAAAACAGCTCGAAAAGCCCCTAAACCCTAAACCCTGAACCTTAAACCCTAACACCCTAACACCCTCAAGCCCTAAAGCTCTAAAGCTCTAAACCCCAACCCTTCGGCTTAGAGGTACCCTAAACCCTAAACCCTAAACCCTAAACCCTAAACCCTAAACCCTAAACCCTAAACCCCAAACCCTAAACCCTAAACCCTTAGAGGTGGCGACATCAAAGATGTGTCGATCGTCCTCTTCGGGGTCTGAGCCTGAGACTCTCCCGGACCTCCGGAAGGATCTAAAAAGTCGATGCCCCAATTTGGGGTTTAGGGTTTAGGGTTTAGGGTTTAGGGTTTAGGGTTTAGGGTTTAGGGTTTAGGGTTTAGACCCTATGCTACTAAAGGCTCTTTATAGGAACCCCCCCCCCCCCATTGAGGGATCTACTTTTTTTAAGGGTCTGGGTTTGGGCACGAGGGGTTCCGGATCTAGCATCGGGGCCTTGAGAGGTTTAGTGGGTTTAGGGTTTAGGTTTTAGGGTTTAGGGTCTAGGGTTTAGGTTTTCGGGTTTAGGGTTGTAGGCGCCTAAAGAATTACCTTTACTATTCTGGGGGGTTCCTTGTTATAATCATAGTATAATATACCCCCAACTCTATTCCAATTATTAAGGCCCCTATACTAGACTAGGGCTTTGGGTCTATTGAGTTGTATTTACCGGAACGATAACGAGGCGTTCTTTCCGCGTGTTCAGACCTTGACTCCAGGGTTCAGGGTTCCCGGCACGAAGGTGATCGCAGGTTTGCGGGTCGGTGTAGTGGCTGGAATCTAGCAGAACTCCTTGCGCAACGGAGTAGGCTGACCCCATGACGGTGGTTAATATAGGGGCCTTAATAATTAGAACAGGGTTTTGGGGGCTCCCAATTATACTTATAGTATTTCAGGCCCCACAACCCTATTCTAATTATTAAGGCCCCTATATTCGGCTGGCCCCATGACGGTGGTTATCTTGAAGGTGATGCTGCCGATGACACTGCTCTCCCGTCCTTGGAGTTCCCAAGCGCCAGCAAGTGATCCTCTAGTGCCCCCTCCCTTCGATTCGCCGATGGCTTCGTTGCTCCGTGCAGTGGCTTTCTTGGGTGCGGTGCAAGCCCAGCTGGACCCGATGTACACCTACGAGGTGATCACCCGGTCTTTCACTGATGCGAACTGCACCGAGGCTACGGGCTACGTGACGAACGACGAAGATGTGAGCAAGTGCAAGATCCGAGAGCGCACCGGGGAGCCCACGGTCTGGACATCGACCGCCCTTAGCGACGACATGACCGTGGTCTTCAGCCTCCGCTATGACAACGAGGACTGCACCTGAAATCGTTATCTACAGCACAACTACAGCCACTGTGACGACGGCCGCTACCACGACGAGGACGTTTACTTCTATGACAGAACCGACAACCGACAATTGGGCTCGAAAACTTTGGTGGTCTGACAGCAGAGATTGCTCCGGCGACCATGATTGCGTGAAATACGAAGAGCTCGGGCGGGGGTGCAATGGTTGGGAGTGTAACGGTACGGATCGGATGGTGTTCCTGGCGGACTTCATCAACCCTTGTGGATCTGATGCTTACTCCCCAAGCAACTTTGGCACGTTCACCTTTGGCGAGTGTGTTGCAAACGAAGGCGGTCACGCCATCTTCACGCTATTGAAGGGTGCTTCTTCTTGCACGACGACCACTACCACGACCACCACGACCACCACGACCACCACGACCACCGGGGCCGCAACCACCGGGGCCTCAACGGCAGCAGCCGTTCCCACGGTCGTGGAGGTCAGTCTCCCACTCACAGTGGATGACCCAGCAACGATTACGGAGAATGCCACCTTGACTAATGCCATGATTGCGGGCTTTGCGCAGGTGATGGGCGTGGATGCCTCTCAAGTAACGCTTGAGTTCACGACCCAGTCTCGACGCCTTAGTTCAAGGCAGCTTCAAGCGACGCTCCTGGCCATCTTTAAGGTGACTTTGCCAAGTGCTGAGGCCGCCGACCAAACTCGGGTGGCCATCGATGCAGTCTCACTGGAGGACACCAACAGCGCAATCACCCAGGCCGCTGCGGATGCCGGCTACGCGGGCACGATCCAGGTGACTGGCAAGACCACGGCGATTGCCCCCGCAGGCCCGTCATCTTCGGCGGCCCTGTCCTCCAGCGTGAAGAACTTGGCCTTCATCGCAGTCCTTGCTGCATTCTGCTTCTGAGTGCAGTGAGCCATGATGAAGGCTTGCCAACCTCCGTAAGTGCATTTTGGCGTGTACAGTAGGCCGTCGACAGGAGCATGGTGAACAAGAGGGGAGTCACGAGGCGCAAGGAGTTGCTTGGTCCTTTGTGGCGAAAAGACTCTCAGTTGAATTTTGTAATGTGCATAAGCAAGTGTGATTCGCCAGGCTCTCTTTTGCAAAAATTCGAGTCGCCTGTCTTGAGAGGCTCCATCCTAGAACGGGCTACGGCCACGTTTCTGGCCTGCTTCAAGGCAGCGGATTGGAATCGGTTGAGGCTTGCATGGGCCATTCTCCTAGTAAGCTCTGCCGAGTCCAGCCTGACGAGAATTTCATTCATTTTTGGGAAAGCTTACAATCAATCTTCGACGTGTCTGCAATATGCCGCGCAAGAGTTAGTGAGCGGCAACTCATGCAGCTCCATGTTACTAGTACGTCGTACCAGCGCACCGCGCGGAAATGGTCGCAACATCTTGCATAGCCACGTGTCCCACTCGCGAAACCGCGAGTTTTGACCCAGACTCTGGGTCCGCTTTCCCTCTGCTTCCATTGGCCATAAAATGCCATTGGTCACTATGCTGCAGATGACGAAAACGAGATAAAACGAGCAAAGAGCTGTGGCAGGAATGGCCGACATGGGCGACAGTTGTAAACCTTGCAGGACAAGTCGTAAATATTAAGTACAGTAAGACGTAGTAAGAGTCGCAAAGACAAAGCAGCAGTCGCCACACATGCTGGGCGAAGAGTGAGAATAAGACGGAAAGGAGCAGCAGAACAACGGCAAGAGCTGTCAGAAGACTCGAATGGCACGGAGCGGGAGACGAGCAAGCTTAAGATGACCATCGACATCATGACAATCATCATCCTCATCGTCACCATCATCACCCCAGAGTGTGAAAGTTGACAAGCCTCATGTCATAAGCGTAGGAGAAGCAGCAACTGTTCATCAAGGAAGTGTCTTTACTTGTTGTATAGTACTAGCACCCGCGTGTAGACTCCATGTATTCGTGCTGCAAATAAACCCTAAACCCTAAACCCTAAACCCTAAACCCTAAACCCTAAACCTATGTGAGCTCTAGCCTCGGCTTTGTTGAGCCAGGCGATCGGTGGCCTCATCTCCTTCGCAGTGACGCTGAGGGACCTCATTGCTGCCGTGGGCGGCGAGAACGAATAAAGAGTTTAGGGTTTAGGGTTTAGGGTTTAGGGTTTCGGGGTAGAGCTGGAAGTCTACGTGAAGTAGGAGGGGTCCTTATTATAGCCTCTGCATAAGTATGCTATGATACATCCCACGCAACTTAACCCTAAACCCTAGACCCGGAGCCCCTAAACCCTAAACCCTAAACCCTAAACCCTAAACTCTAAACCTAGACCCGGAGCCGAGAAAGAACTGATACCCTAACCCTGTTCTAAGTTGTCGGGCCCCAAGCGGTATTGCTCCAAGAAGCGACGGAGACTCCCAAAAGTCCGAAAGCCTTTGAATAAGAAGGGTTTAGGGTTTAGGGTTTAGGGTTTAGGGCCTCGAGCCCAAAACCGACAGCTTGAAACCCTAAACCACGGAGCCTAAACCCTAAGCTACCTTTGACCTCCCCACCCTATTGGAGGGCCTGTCGTCGGATTCCCCGCGACCCCGCGAACCTCTCCAAGCATAATATAGAAGCCTAAATACTTGCCAATACTATTCCTTAGGGTTCCTTATTATGATTATACGAAAGGAGCCACAAACCCTTTCTGATTATTAAGGCCCCTACATCACAGACACGCAGAGGTCTCGATGGTTCAATAACTACAACTAGTATTCCTTGAGGTTCTGCCAGCACCCCAGTTTTCTGTACTACACACGTGCATTCATTTCTATGTATATTTAGTTTACGTGAAGCTTTCCAATACTAAATGCATACCTATGTACTTCCAAATTCCAAAACCCTAAGCCCCAAACCCCAAAACCCGAAGCCCCAAGTCCTAAGCCCCAAACCCTAAATCCTAAGCCCTAAACCCTAAACCTAGCCGTGTGCATGTCTGTGCTAAAGCCTTCCTCAGCTTACTTGGTTCTCATGAGCGAAGCCAAGAGGCATCCTATGACCTGTTAGGTTTTCACCGGGGGTCTCGTCATTGGGCTATAAAGGGTTTAGGGGTTAGGGTTAAGGGTCTAGGGTTATACGTGGCATCAGAATCAGGATAACGCCATTTACAGTGCCATAAACCCTAACCCCTAAACTCTAAACCTCTCTGAGGGGCCAAGTCTTTTGGGACTCCTAATGTTGGAGAACTACTGAACTTGCTACAGACGGGACAAACAAACCGATATGCCCTGTCTCAACCGGCCCCGAACTAAAGCGTCAGAGCCCTAAACCCTAAACACCAAACCCTAAACCCTGCAAGCCCTAAACCCTAAACCCTGCAAGCCCTAAACCCTAAACCCTGCAAACCCTAAACCCTAAACCTCAAACCCTAAACCCTAAACGCTACAACCTCAGAGCATCAGAGGTCCGAACCCTGAATCCAGAGCGTCAGGAAGCCCCGCCCTGGACCTGAAACCCTCAGCGCGGAACAGCGAAGCCAAAGCTTCTAAGGTTTAGGGTTAAGGGTTTAGGGTTGCCCAAAACCCAGAACCTCCCAAGCCCTCTACAGTAGCAACCCGTACCCTAAACCCTAAACCCTAAACCCTAAACCCCAAACCCATAGAAGCCCTTAAAAAGCCGCGAAGACCTTGACGCTATGCTTGGCCAGCCGGATGCTGCGAGTGTGCCGCCATGGTGCGCAGACTCTCCGTGTCGTCTGGGGCTCTGGGATTCCTCTTTGGGCTTAGGGGTTCAGGGTTTAGGGGAAGCTTCAGGCACGGTTTAGGGTTTAGGGTTTAAGGGTGCAAGTTTTAGGGTGTTTTGAATAGGGTTTAGGGCCCTAAAGTTTAGGGTTTAGGGTGTTGTTCTTGGTTCGAGTTCTGAATGGTTCAAGGGTGAACCGTTGAAAGACATCAGGGCAAGCGCAGTGAAAGTGCATCTTTTCCAGGAGCTTAGTTCCTTCACTAAATGGACCTAAGCCTGAAAACCCTCAAGCCCGCAACCCCCAAAAGCCCTACACCCTAAACCCTAGAAGCCCTAGGCCCTAAACCCCAAAAAGCCTTACACGACTAAAGCCCTGAACCTCGAGATGTAAAGCTGTAAACCCTAGAGCCCCAAGGCCCGGCGGGCGGCATGGGAGCGGAGATTCATTTTTGGGGTTTAGGGTTTAGGGTTCGATCTAATAAAGGGGCTTTGATGATGTAATGATGTATGTCTCATAAAGTTCTGCAGGGGTGGGTTGGAACTGCCCGGAACACCAGATAGTATAGACTTGATGCAGACATCTGAACATTTAGAAATTTACTTCGTAAGACTACACGCTTGCGTAGTAGGCCCTACATAATCATACCAGTGTAAACAACATGTAAAAACCCACCACGAAACTCTCTTTCTCTCTCTCTCTCACAAAATCTTCTGTCTGATGCTTAGTAAGGAATGGGGGAATGGGTTATAGGGACTACTTTATAAGGGACCTTCAGGGACTATCATACAAATCCATGCCCCCCATTCCCCACTATAAAAGGTTAGAAGTATGGGCCCCTAATATGGAATCTTAGGCCTTTCTAGGGACCCTTAAGGGTACATATAGCGTATATAGTAGGTGTATACGGATCCCAGGGTTCAGGGCCCATACTAGGGGCCCATGGGTTCAACTTTAGATACTAAGCACCAGACAGTCTTTTTCTAATCATCAATGCTCCGCGCCTTTACTACCCTAAACCCTAAACCCTAAACCCTAAATGCTGACATGTACAGGGCCTGCTTTGGCACCCAGCCTGAACCTGGAGGCCGATAGTGTTTAGAGGGTTTAGGGTTTAAGGTTACTGTTAAGGTTTAGGGTATAGGGTTTAGATTTTTCTGGTTTAGGGTTTAAGGTGTAAGGTTTAAGATTTAGGGTTTCAGGTTTAGGGTTTAGGGTTCAAGGTTTTGGTTGCTGCATCGGGTTTCGTCGGGTTTTGGAGAGGGATTGTGACAGCTCCTGAACCCGAAACCAAACCGTAGCACAACCAAAAGATGCACCTTCTGCCACCTTCTCAAAACACATACTTGCAGGTTCGTTTAGGGCTCAAGACGGCCGGGAGCCTGAATCCTAACCCTAAACCCTGAACCACTTTCAGGGTTTAGGGTTTAGGGTTTAGGGCCTACTCCGGCCCTTTGTGCTAAGGTTGCTGGCCGCAGTTGCTGTGGCGGGAATCGACAGCTCTGGAGAGCAGTGCTCTTCTTCTCCAAGGAGAGCTTTGTGGGTTTCGGGTTAAGATTAAGGTTTAGGATGTGGGGTTTGTATAGGGCCTAGGGTCTGGTCTTTAGTTAGGGGCTTAGGATTGCTGGGTTCAGGTTCCGATTCAACATTCAGGTTATATGGGGTTGCGGGAGAAGTTCGGGCTGGGAGATTCAAGGCATCAGTGCTAGGACACATAGCATGACGGGCCGACATCGGGACGGACTTGGGAGCCTTTCTCGTGGTAGAGTTCCATGTTTGGTGTCTCTCTGTCTGTGTCTGTTGGTCTCTGTCTCTGTCCTCTCTCTTGCCCTCCTTCCCTTCCATCTGCTTATGCATATAAAGATTGATTGTAGGTCGACAAGAGCTTTGCGTGGATATGGGATACCTTCAACAAGGGGCAAACGCTCGCCAGACCCCCGCAGATCCCCGAAGTCCACAAAACCCTGCTTCAACAAGGGCTCTAGTAACTAATCCGGGAGGAGTGAGAAGACGGAGCAGTGGTGCTGCTTGGTGCAGGTTTGATACATTGGCATGTGGGGGTTTCCGAACATAGGGGGCCCTTCTATAGTACCCTAAATAGTAGGATCCTCCATAAAAGGAACCCAGAAGAAGGTACCCCTTATGTTCGGAAACTCCAATGTTCTTGCGGCAGCTTGCAAGCTGGGGATCTTTCACGGTTGGTGGCTTTGATTTTGGGCGCGAGGGCGTTTGGAGGATTGCATAAATTCGGGTCGGAGTCGGAGTAGTTGGGAATAACATACCCATGGTAATACCCATAGTGCAACTATATCATGTTATTGTATGATCTCCCAGCTACTGGTAATATAGAAGGCTAAGTAATTACCTATACTATTTTGGGGGTTCCTGATTATAATCATGGTATAATGGGCCCCGAAACCCTATTATCATTATTAAGGCCCCTAAACCCTAAACCCTAAACCCCTATAGTCGCCCTTATAGAACCACTTTAAGGAACTCTTTAAAGGAAACCCCCAAAACCCTATTCT